AGATGATCTCTTTGAGGACTTGCCACATTTTGTTGTGATCCATGCAGTCAAAGGCTTTATTATAGTCAATGAAGCAGAAATAGATGCTTTTCTAAAACTCCCTTGATTTTTTTCCCCATAATCCAACTTCCTCTGCCACTTTGAAAATCATTCTGTTCTTCTGGTAATTCTTTGTTCACACAATACTGAAACCTAGCTGCAGAATCTTAAGCATAACCTTGCTGGCATGTGAAATGAGTGCAAATGTTCAGTAATTTGAACATCCCTTGGAACCGCCCTTCTTCAGTTGGGACATAAACTGACCTTTTCTAAATCTGAGTTTTCCAAATTTGCTGGCATATTTAGTACAGCACTTTGACAGCATAATCTTTTAGGATTTTAAATAGTTCAGCTGGAATTATATCACTTCCATTAGCTGTATTGTTAGCAGTGCTTCCTAAGGTCCACCTGACCTTATTCTCCAGGATATCAGGCTCTAGCTCAGTAACCACACCATCCTAGTTATCAGCGATGTTAAGATCTTTCCTGTGTAGTTTTTTTTTTTGCATGTATTCTTGCCATGTCTTCTTAATCTTTCTGTTTATATTAAGTCTCTATCATTTTTGTCTTTTATCATGCCCAGATGAGGTAAAATTATCCTCATCTGCAGAAAACATGAGCGTTTACTTAGAAAACCACAGCAAATGAATTGAGACAACGAATAGACAATAAAGTAAGATAACATATGTAAAGTATCTTTCAAACGCTGTGTAAATACATAACATAGAAATCACTATATACAAGTGTTAGTTATTATTATTATTATTATTATTAGCCATTAGTAGTGTCTGTAAAGTAGTAGTACATAAAATATATCCACAAAAGTCATCAGCACTTTCATAAAGTAGTAACAAAACCCAGGAAAAAATGATAGTAATGGAAATGCCCTTCAGAATTTATATAAAACATATAAAATATCTAGGGCTCAGTGTATCCAGATATACTTAAAACTTATATAAATATGACTCCAAAATAGTCTTTGAAGAAATAAAGAATGAGGGGCAGCTAGATGGTGTGGTGGATAGAGCACCAGCCCTGAAGTCAGGAGGACCTGAGTTCAGATCTGGCCTCAGACCAAACACTTGCTACTTACTAGCTGTGTGACCCTGGGCAAGTCACTTAACCCCAATTGCCTAAAAAAAAAAAGTTTAAAAAAAGAAATAAAGAATGAACTCAATAATTATAAGGAATGTCACTGCTTATGATTGGGCCATGTAAATATAATAAAAATGATACTATCTAGATTAATTTACCAATAAAATAAAAATAAAGTAGCCAAGGGATTACTTTAAAATGCTAGAGAAAACAGTAACAAAATTCATTTGGAAGAATTAAAAATCTAGATCTCAAGGAAGATTATGAAGTTTTTAAAAAAAGGAGAAATGGGACTTTTTGTAAAGATAGCAGCATAAAGGATTATAGTTGAGCTTTGCTTCTGTAAGAAATACCCCAGCAAACATGGACTATAAAAAAGCAATGATCAAAAGTAAGCTTCTTTATCCAGACACAAAAGGATGGCAAAAAGCCTATTGCTACCTGGTCAAGACATACTAGGGGCCTGAAGCCAGAACAATCTCCAGTAAATGGGGGCTGAAGCAAGCAAGATGTTGTCCTTGGACTGTTGGAGCAACAGCAAAAGACAAAGTTAGCTCCTAGTAAGTAAGTGAATAAGGAGATAGAAAAGGGGGTACTTGGGCCATTGTGCATGTGTGCGTGCACATGGGAGGCCCAAAACTAATGTGATCCTTAATATCTGGTTGGTATTTGTCATGGCTATAAGTGGAGGACAAAGACAACTCCTACCTGGTGACTTGATAAGTAGGAGACAGAGTCAATGGATAACACCTGGGCTGGGCCACCAGGAGATAAAGGCAAAAGCAGCGTCTGGTTCTAGCTCTGGAAGGAGGACAGAGAGAGGAACCAGCGACCAGTCTTACCATCCACAACTGACAGGGCAGCAGCAGTAGCATCTAGATTGAAGAAGGGATAAGAGGAAACTAGGCCACACCACCCAAGAATGCAAGAAGGGGCATAACCTGGCCTAGGCATAAAGTCCCAAACCAGAAACCGAGGCTGGAGATATAAGTAAACAGAAAAACAAAAACAAAACAAACAAAAAACCTCTGACTACAATAAAGAAATACCCTGAGTTAAGAGAACTTCAAGAGGTAAATCCAGAAAAAGACAGTGATTCCACCACTGTAAAACGTCAGAACAAAAAGAATGGATTGGCCACAAAGACTTCAAGAGTGGTTGGGAAAAAAATGAAGGAAAGGATAAAAAAACAAAATGAGAACTTTTGGGAAAAAAGTTGGGAGGAGAATAAATAACTTAGAACAGAAGGTAGGAAACATGACCTAAGTAATGAACTCCCTGAAAAATAAAAGGAATGACTACCATGCTATAAAAGTATAATAAAATGAAACTGGATGAATATTTATTATGACCAAACTTGGTTCTAGGGAAATACCTGTTCTATTACAAAGAAAGGGAAATAGTGTGGAACACTGTATCTATCTATCTATCTATCTATCTATCTATCTATCTATCTATCTATCTATCTATTCAGATATGGTCAATGTTTTGGTTGGGTTTGCTGAGTTCTTGCCATTTCTTTTTCTTTTTAATTTTTTTTGTTTTTTTTTTAAATTTTATTAATTTATTTTGATTTATCAATAATCACCTCCATATGCTTTTGAGTTTAAAATTTTCCTCCCCCTTCCTTCCCACCACCCTCCCCAAGACAGCACACAATTTGATGTAGGCTATACATTTACATTGCTATTAAACATATCTTCACATTAGTGGTGTAAGTAAAAATTAAAACCGATAGGAGGAACCATCAGAAAGAGGAAACAAAACTCAACAGAAGAGGAAAAAAAATAGCAATTCAACTTTCATAGTTCTTTCTTTGGATGTGGATAGCATTTTCCATCACGAGGCCTCTGGAGATGTCTTAGATCCTTGTATTGCTGGGAAGGGTTAAGTTTATCAATATTAGTCATCGCACTACGTGGCTGTTATTGTGTACAACGTCCTCTTGGTTCTGCTCATTTCACTCAGCATCAGACCATACAAGTCTTTTTAGGTTTTTCTGAAGTCAGCCTGTTAATCATTTCTTATAGCACAATAGTATTCCGTTACATTCATATACCACAACTTGCTCAGCCATTCTTCTTTTTAAATTTTTGTTACAAGGGAAAGATCATTGGGTGGGGCCAGGTTTATGTCTGGAAATTGATGTAATATAAAACCCATCCATTTTTGAAAAGGGATGGCTATAGTGGAAAGATTCTGATTTTTAATTTGAAAATCTAGTTTCATATTCTCGTGTGACCTGGAAAAAGCCAATTAACCTTTCAGTTTATTTATGTGTAAGATAGGGCTTTTGGGAGGAGATGTTGAAATAGACAATCTCTAAGTTTTCTTCCAGGTGTAGACAGGTTAAACCCTATGAAATTTAGAGTTATATAAAACTTTAGAATGTTCTAACATTCTGAGGAAGAGAACATAGGAATCACCTAAGCTAATAATACTCAAACTGTGTACCATAGAATTCTGATGTTGTATGTGATTGAAATAACAATTCCTCAAGAAAACTTGGATAGTAGGGCTTTTTTTTCCCCTCTAAAATATTAAGCATACGGTTATGAAAATGTGACCAGCAAGTGTGGTAGAATATTTAATTAGCTGACTCTCTTTTTTTCCTCCCTCTTGCCATTAAATTTGGATAGGAACTGATTCCTCCAAGAGCCAATCTTTCGACTCTGCTAGGTTGGCCAGGGGTCGTGATCTTCTCTTTGGTTAACACTTCTACTCCACCCTGTCTAATTCAGTGACATTAGGCTTTTTTGTACCTCTTGGTTTATCTACTAGAGCAACTAGATGGCGCAGTAGATAGAGCGCTCCGCCTGGAGTCAGGAAGACTAATCTTCCTGAGTTTAAAGCCAGCCTCGGGTACTAGCTGTGTGACCCTGGGCAAGTCACTTAACCCTGTTTACCTCAGTTTCCTCATCTGTAAAATGAGCTGGAGAAGGAAATGGCAAACCACTCCAGCATCTTTGCCAAGAAAACCCCAAATGGGGTCATGAAAGGTTGGATATGACTGAAAAAAATGACTAAACAAAAAGGTCTGCCTACAAACAATGGCTCATTTGACTTTTGCCCAGTAGAAAATTTGCTCTCATCCACATAGGTCTCTGCTCTTTTCTAGAACAAATAAATAAAGGTTACTATTTTTAAAGAGTCATTGTTATAAGATCATCTCCATGGAGCCTTCAATAACCCTAATGCTTTGAACAGAGATTCCAATCTCTAACCTGGTCAAATTCTGCCTTTCCAACTAGACATTGGGGTGTCATCCACTTGCACTCCCTAGCAGGGAATAAACATACAGACATGTAGTACAAAGCATTCATAATCAATCATATATTTTTATGTGAAATAAAAAAAAAGCACCAGAAAATAGCTTAAAGAAAGAGAAAGAAAAATAATGTGGAAACATCTGTTAGCAAACAAGCACAGGGAAGAAGAGTTGGGGAGAGTAATGCCTTTTGGAGTCTTCCCTCTGTTCTTCAAGGGTCAATTTCAACAGGTAGCATCAGCATGAGATCTTGGTTCTGTTTTGCAGAATCTGGACCACTGAAGCCAACCTCCTGCACGTAATTCCTAGTCTTAGAACTCATACAATAAGATCACCTCAGGTATCTGAAAACACAACTCCATCTCTACAGCTCCATTGTAGACTCTCTCCCAAATTCCTGGGAGTGCGGAAGGATGCCTCAAAACTCTTAAAAGTGTCAGTGTATTCTGAAGCTTAGAGGCAGCAGTGGCTCTCTAGGACTGTAACTACCTAAATTCCCAGATAGGTTTTCTTTACTTTTAACCCACTCATAGGGAAGTCTGAATACCTTGTTCTATTCATATCAACTTATCGAGGAAAACATTTTTTTTTTTGGTAGGAAAATGGGCTGAAGGTAATAGGATTTAGAACTCAAGACTGCCTGGAAAGAACGTTCTTGCAGAAGGTGGGTGTAACTAGTTTTCTCTGCCCCATAGACACGGCTGGTGCTGGGGAGCAGGGCACTGGTGTTTACCTGGGAATTTATCTGTGATGTAAATTAGGCCTCATGCTAAGTTTTGTCACTTGTCATGATTTGACTTATTTTGAGGATGATATATACAGGATTAAACCTCTATACAATCTTCTACCAGGGAAGGAAAGTGGCTTGCCTAAGGCCAGTCACCCAAATTAACTTCCTTGAGGTCTAAGGGCCAAAATGACTTGTCCCTAATGTTTCCATTGGGGCCCATTTCTAAGAGCCCCAAATGACTACAAAGCCACTTCCAGAAGGGACATATACATTCTTTTATTAAAGGTAAATGCTCATTTTGAATGTTTTCTTTTTTTCCATTAAATTTTCAATGGTTATGTATTACTCAGAAATCCCTGTGTTTCTTTATCTCCTCCTAGTCCAGGTTATAACAAGGGTTTTGAAATGCATGAACATTTAGCTTTTCGGAAAGGCACTGGTAATCACAGATTTGGTTTTCTTTTTATACCTTCTCAAGTTTGCCTCCTAGCACGTATGTGATTATAAGGGTATTTTTTTTTTAAATTAAATGCAGTCTATGTCTTTTGAGCCACGAAGGCACCAACGTCCCTTAAACTGTAGAGGTCAATTCTCATTAGATGTACTGATTCCCTTCTTGCTGATCAGCTCCAGACTCCACCTCCTCCTGAACTTGGTCAACAAAATACTTGTTAACCCAGAAAAGAATGTTTTTCTTTTCAAACCCATGAAAATCCGAAGGTCCATTCTTTTCCCCCTGCTTGGAGTAATCCCCAAATTATGCACAATATCCGGAACAGAGTAATGGCTCCAAATTAAATTTTCTGGTCTCTGAAAAACTGATTCGACCCAGGCTGAGGGTCAGGAGGGAATCCTCAGAGACCTGCCCCCAATTTAATGCAGTCAAAGGCTGAGAGGAACAAGAGGCATGGAGGAACAGGATGGATGCATGCATGCAGACCTTTTGCTGGAGAGTCTGTGGCACCATGCAGGGATTAGCCATGAAGTACCAAAGGAAGGCATAGTTTAATATTATTTTCCATGTGCATTCCTGGCAATTGCCTAGAATAACAGTTTTGAAGGGAAAACACAGGTGGGAGGCTGCTGAAACCCATTCCAACCCGTGTGACTTTTTTTCCCAGACAAGATTTTTGTCCCATTTTAAAGGAAGCATGTGGAGGGAAACCGATAGCCATTAACACTTACCAAGTTTCCAGTCAGGGGTCAGCCACTAATTCACCGTGTGACCTTATCTAGGACACTCTCAATAAAACTAAGGCCCATCAGTTGAGGAATGATCTAATAAATAATGGTGCATGAAAGTATTGTAATACTACTGTTCCATTAGAAATGATGAAATGGATTTTAAAGAAACCTGGGGAGACTTGTATGAACTGAAGTACAGTAAAGTGAGTAGAACCAGGAGAACAATTTATATAATAACTACACTGAAAAGTCAAACAACTTAGAAAGAGTTAAGAATTCTGATCAATGCAATGACCAACCACGATTCCAGAGGAACAATGATTAAGCATGCTGCAGATCTCCTGACAGAGATAATGGATACAAGATGCAGGATGAGACAAGCATTTTTGGAACTAGACAAGGCAGTAATTTGTTATGCTTAATTATGCATATTTGTTATAAGTGTTTTTTATGGGGAAGATGGGATTAAGAGAAAATAAATGTTAATTGGAAATAAAATGAAACAGCCTTCTAGTAGCAGTGGCATAGTCAACAGTGTAAGGATTCATCCTAGAGTTGTGGCAGGAGGAAAGGAAGGGACACCAGACTTTTGAGGTAATTCATGGCCATAAAAATTGTTGATAATAATAAAAATATCTCAAATAAATACTTACTTTTCTTTGAACTGTACCCCAAACAGGTGAAAACAGTGGAGAATTTTTAAAAGGCTACTGAATTTAATATTTAGGAGGTCATTGGTGACCTCTGAGAGATGACTTTCAGAACAAGCACTGATGCTGGAAGAAGGCAGATTTTAAGAGGCTAAGGAGAAATAGTGAAGACACTGCAGGGAAACAATTTTTAAACATTGAATGTTAAAAGAAGGAAGGGAATGGGATGATACCTAGATGGAGCTGAAGGGAAGGATCTAAACTAGACAAGTCTTTTTGAGGACTAGGTAGAAGTGAAAATGTTCGTAGTCACATGGGAAGGATAGGGGTAGAGAATGGAGAAGAAGAAGAGAGGGGGAGAGAGGGAAGGAGAAAGGGAGAGAAGAGGGAGAGAGATGGAAGGAGGGAGAAAGAGAGAGATGATCCAAGGAAATTTCCAGGAATGGAGAAGCAGACCTAATATCTGATTCTAACTTTCAGGGATTCTATGCAACATACTTTTCACCATCCTACCCACCTCCTCAGCATTATATACATGTACCCATGAACCAGAAAGCAAGTATCCTCAAAGTTAAGGCATCATTGGAGGACAATTTTGCAACAATTTCTCTTGGTGTCTTTCATCAGAGATGGTTTCTCATTAAAAAGTCAGCAAACAGAAAGGGCTGTCCTGAAGACCATCTTTGTTTCTTGAGCAGGGAAACTGAATCTATACCAAAGTTGAAGAACAAGGCAAGAGCCCAGCACGTGAAAACAGTATTGAATCCAGGTAGTTAATTCCTTACATATAAGAGAGAAAAATCCTGTGCTAGAGAAGGTGGGAGTGGGAAGGATGGAGCAGGGGTTACTTCAGGAATACTGTGAGCTGTAACTATGCATATATTCACATGGGAGCCAGACAAGGCCAAGTAATTGAAAAGTCCTCTTTGAGGGATCCCAATTGAGAGATGATTAATCTCTTCAATTTAAAGTGTCGCAAGTGGTTTTGGAAGCAGAATGGGAAAGTGATGGTATGATAATTATTACCATAGGATTCCTGAATGGAGAAATAAAACTCACTCATAAAATTACATTAATCACCAGACCAGGAACATTAGTGGGATTTCTGTCAAGAGTGAGAAACTGTGTCTGCTGTTAGTGTGTAGGCAGTCCTCCCACTTGCGGCAGGCTTGGGTCCTGAAAGAGGCATTTTAAATAAAAGTTGTGTGATTTGAATCAAATTCTCCATTGGAAAATAAGATGACAAAGGGTAGAGAGGCCTGACAACTGATATTGTAAAATTAGAAATGATCAGAGAATCAAAGAATCCAGGGTTAAGATGGACTAAATGATACAGAGACCATTTAGTCTCACCTACTTCCCAAACAGAAATCCCATCTAAAATATTTTGGACAAGGGTCATCCGGCCTATACTCACATAAGTCCAAGACGGGGGAACTCACTCCATTCCAAAGCAACCCTTTCCACTTTTTAATATTTTAAACTACTGATTGGTTTTCTTTGCCTCAATTCCAAATCTGCCTCTCTGTAACTTTTACCCATGGCTCTCAGTTCTTCCCTAATGGGCCAAGCAGAACGAATCTAATCCCTGTTCTATATGATAGCTCTTCAGGTACTGGAAAGCAGAGATCATGTTCCCCTTAAGTTTTCTCTTCAAACTCTATGGGTTGGGATTGGTTGAGTCAGTCGATCCTCCATCCCACTTAAAGTAACCAACAACACACTCTAGCCCTGATAAATTTATCAGGTGAGAATACCTCTATTGAGTCAATCAAACAAAGGAATTACGTTAATGTACATATCCCATTATTCTTGGTGGGATTTCTATAAAATATTAAGCCAGTTTGTAATACAACGTTTGAGCGCCTGGCATCTTAGAAGAGAACACATTTCCAGTCGTGCCCCAAGAGGGAATCATTTGTAGCACAAGTCTTGGTTCTCCTTCAGGACCTTGTGAATTTCAGAGTATAAGGATTTGAACTTCTCATTGGCATCGTAGCAGTGCCCCTAAGACCAGGAATGACTGACGGTAGTGTTTGCATTGGGGCCTGAGGACAAATTAGAAATGCTGAGTTCCTTGCAAAGGAGAAGGAAAAAAAAAAGACTTTGGGCAACAAGATACTGTGAGTTACCCCATATCGTATGCTCTACTTTTGATCCCATTTATACCTGGACTCTTTATATACTTGAGGGAACATATGCCCTTGGTTTGGAGGGATGTTTTATGCTAAACTGTTCTAATTATATCACCTTAGTAAGTATGCATTTCTGGAAGATAGTTAAGTCTGGAAGACTAATTGATATCAGTTGATAATCATGGGGTAAGTACACTGGTAGGGGCCTACCGGTGCAGATGTGGCATTGGAGAATAATTCCAGAGCTTGGCCTAAACAGGATCAGCTAATTAATCTCCAGTCCCCACATCTACTTCCAGACAAGTTTTTGGCTTGTCATTGTCTTTCTTAAAACAGGGTGGCCAGAATGGAACACAATACTCTGGTCAGATATGGTCTTACCTAACATGGAAATACATTTTGCACGACTGCACACGTGTAATCTATATTGAATTGCTTGTCTTCTCAATGAGGGGGGAGGGAGAGAATTTGGAACTTAATTTCTTTTAAAAAAATGAATGTTAAAAATCGTTTTTACATGTAACTGGGGGAAAATAAAATATTAGATTAAAAAAAAAAGATATGGTCTTACCAGAGTAGAAGTTAGAAAGATTTTCTCCACTTTCTTCTGCATGGTATGCTTCTTTTCACGCAGTATAAGATCATTCTGACTTTTTTATAGAAACATCATTCTTAGTCAACTGAAAATGATACATTTAAAAATGAGAAATGTAATTGAGAAAAGAGAAATGTTGCTGAATGCCAATAGGTGTTAACATAAAGATTTTCAGTGAGATAGGACATCAGAGCTCCATCTGTTTTGTCTTTAAAATGATTTTGAATTGTGGCCTTAGTAATATCTGCCATCAAACTATTTTTAAATGATATGAAAGGAAAATTCCCTTGAAATGTCCAACTTAAAAATGATCACAGATTATATTTTTCCTTGGGAAAGACCCGGCTGAAAAATATATTGCTGATTTCA